TGAGACCACAGTGTACTCATTTTCTGATGGTTGCTTCCAGCAGGATAATGCATGGTGTCACAAAGCTCGGATCATCTAGAACTAGTTTCTTGAGCATGACAACAACCTGGTGGCTGTGACTGTGAGATCAAGAGGAATGTTTGAAGTATGTTGTTGAATCTATGCCACAAAGCAGTTTCAATTCAAAAAGGAATCCAATCCATCAATAACAAGGTGCAACTAATGAAGTGGCCAGTAAGTGTAGAGTATGTGGAATAGACGGACTTAAGGAAGAAAAAGGCACACGTGCATAAGTGGGTTGAAATCTTTGTGATGATTCTGTACCATAATGGGTGAGATCTAATAGTGTTCAGACATCACAAACTAAACATAGTTTCTTTACCACGTCCTGTGTGTTTCAAAAACAGGGTGTGTTTGCTGCTCTAATGCGGAGTTCTTATCTCAGCTTCTATCTGCAGTTACCATCCCCTGCAGGAGTTTGCCTACTTGATGCTTTTTGTTGCAGGAGAAGTTGTAACAGCATTGATGGGCAGCAACCATCTTTGCAGAATCATTTTCACACAAGCCCTGAAGAAAAGTTTGCCAAATTGTCAGAGCGCACAGAAGAAAACGGCAGCAACGAGCACCGTCTATCGACTGACAGGCTGACAAGTGCCTATTAAGCCCAGTTGAACTGTTGAGGTAAAGTCGGATCCCCAAAAATAGTCATAGACAGGGCTATGAGAAAGGATGTAACAGCTGATGATTGAACGAAATAAACGTGTGCACACACACACACACACACACACACACACACACACACACACACCGATTCACTGAGAGGAGGTGAGATATCTCAAAAGGGCAGATTTGCCTACATTGGTAAATGGTAAATGGCCTGTATTTATATAGCGCTTTACTAGTCCCTAAGGACCCCAAAGCGCTTTACATTGTTTGTGTAATTAGGCATTGAGGTATTTTTCTATAGTGGCAGCAAACAGATGGAATCGGGCAGCTGCAGCCATCTATCAACCATACAAAAATAAATAAATAAATAAATAAATAAAATACTCTTGTTTCTAACAGGATTTGCAAAGACTCACAGAGAACAAGTGTGGGCTGGTTTCCATGGTGAGCAAAGTTAATCAGCTATTTCTCATCTTGCTACTGATTGACACCAACTGAGCTCAGACTACACTCGACATGGAGGGTTGAAGCATTAACGGAAATAACCATCTATCTTTCCTTCTTTTTTATTTTTTGCTTTGACCTTACATGTGAACCTAAACCATTAAACACCTCCCATGTGAGTCAGAAATGAGATGATTACTATCTCGCCTTAATTTGCCATTCCAACATAAGACAGACGTCAGAACGAGCTTCAGTGTGTAATTGCCCTTGTCTAGCGCGCCAGACTGTTGGTACTTTGGGAAAAAAAGAGAGAGAGAGAGAGACACCAGGCCTCCTTCATTTAGCACACGATGAAACTCATTCTCAGAATATAGCGCGAGGTAATTGAGCGATGAATTACTTTTTGCATCAGCACCACTCAATGACACTGATTCTGATGTAGTAATATATTATCTCCCCCTATGTGGTAATTTGTCCCCAAAAAGACATCCGCTGGAAAATTCTCTGACTTTATCAGACTTGAAAACAACCAATCAAACTTTACGAAAAGCAACACTTTTTTTCCCCCTCTCAAATCATGTGAGGGAAGTATGCTGACGGTGTGCTTTTTCATTATGTAAAGTCACGTTTCTGAGTTTGACTTGAGAATGTCGTCTTTCCCTAAAGAGAAGAAATAAATGAGTTTCACATCAAGGAAAGCAATCAGCCCTGGTTAAACCTAGATCTCCAAAAATGTGATTATATCTGCCATATGTGAGTACACACCTCTGCCAAGGATTATAATGGTGGAAGTGGGGGGAAGAAAAAAAAAACACATTTGTCTGTGTGATAATTGAAGCTTGGCAGAGAACTATAGTGTGCAAAAGTCTTGAAGCAGCCTTCATTTCTTTATGTTTTTCAAAGATCGTGGCTATCGTGGCGATCGTGGCTCAAGAGTTGGGAGTTCGCCTTGTAATCGGAAGGTTGCCGGTTTGAGCCCCGGCTTGAACAGTCTCGGTCGTTGTGTCCTTGGGCAAGACACTTCACCCGTTGCCTACTGGTGGTGGTCAGAGGGCCCGGTGGCGCCAGTGTCCGGCAGCCTCGCCTCTGTCAGTGCGCCCCAGGGTGGCCGTGGCTACAATGTAGCTGCCATCACCAGTGTGTGGATGACTGGATATGTAAAGCGCTTTGGGGTCCTTAGGGACTAGTAAAGCGCTATATAAATACAGGCCATTTACCAAAGAAAATACGTGCAGTGATTTATTCATTAGTACAGAAGGAAATACAGAACATAAGGAGTTTGTATTATTCTACCAGGGTTTAAAGTCAGAAGCAACACCTGCTGCCATTTCTTTTTCAGTGTAGATGTGTTGTGATTTGCCAATTGTTGATTAATAACTCTTTGGGAATCACTTTGTTTGTACAAAATTACTATTTTATGTCTGTCAGATTCTGTCATCTTTGGCATTTTTCATACATGCAGATAAAGATATTCAGTGTGTTTTTCTGACAACCTGCTACTAACAAAGCACCTACAACTGTTTTTTGTCTGGTATGTGTTGGTGTAGACCTGGCACTGGTTCATTCTTTGAGTTAGGAGCCTTGTTAACCGTAACAGGTCAGTTACATAGCTTACCAAACAAAATCATTATACTGAAATACTGTGATACTGCTACCCCTCAGCCACCTATAGTATCAATTACAAAATCCTACATCATCTTGTTATTGCATACACAAGATGGTCAGAAAACTTACTTTTGCTTTCAGATCAAGGTCCCTGAGACACATCCAAAATTTTTAGGACATTCACCAATGGCATTAACTGAAAATCTTACTGTGTTCTCAGTGAAATTTACCTCTGACTTTGAGGTCTAGGTCACTGAGTTTTAATCCTGTCCAAGGCTTTTAGTAGATACACCTTTGGTATCAACTTGAAGCTCCTATTTCACCTCATTCTCGAGTTACCAAATTCACAAACTCAATGTCCATGCCGCCTACCCACACTGCTGAGGGGAAAAGGCATCATGTCCAAGATCTTCAAAAAGCCCAGAGAACTACTGCTCACAACCACTTTTTAAAAATTTAAAGTAACTCTGGCGCTTGGAAGTAAAACAAAGATGTGAGGACCGGCTCAAGACTTTTGCACAGCACGGTAGCTGGAAGATTGACAGACCTAAAAGAAAAAACAAAAAAGGAAACCTAACAACCCGACATTACATGATGAAAAAAAGAAAGAAATTCCAATGAGCAAGAAAAAAAGACGACCATCTTTATTTCAATCTTTCAAACCTGTAATAAAATGTGACAAACTCAATTCAAACCCTAACGGGAAGTTTGGCAGATAGTGGTAGGCAACTACAGACCAGAAGGCAAGGCGAGGGCATGGCTCCTTTAGCGCAGCTTCACAGTAAACCACAGATAATAACAATTTTCTTTTAAAAGAGAAAAGGTGTGCTTATATTGAGTCGAATGGGTTACTGAACTAGAACCGAATGGTGAAATTACTGTTATTCCTGCTTTTTAAAGGAGCTCTGAGGCAGCTCTTTGGACAGAGCCGGGCGAGCGCGGCCCCAGTTTCGTCTTTATGCTATAAGCTGCCTACCTGCTGACGTAGACACATGTCAGCAGCATCAACCATGTCCTCTAACTCTTGGCAAAAAACAAGAACATTAAAGAAAATCTTATATTGAAGAAAATTGATCTTTATTGGAAAAGGTGGACGCCACGTAACTCGCCGTACCAGCTGAGAGTAAGAATCTATTTTACAGATATTCAAGTTGTGTTTTCAGATGCTTTGAGGTCTCTGCCTCATTGCACCCTAAATCCAGTAAGGTACACTGTACTGTGGAATTTTCATGAAAATGTTATTACACTGGGTGTAGAGGATTTTGGGAACACTCTGTCTTTTTATGAAATAGATTGGTCTGGTGAATTAAGGAGGAATCCATTATCCCTACTTGATTTCAGCTATTACACACACTTTAGTCACAAGGAGAGGGTATACAGGATCTCTATGCCTTGAGACCAACAAAGAAAAAAAAAAAAGAACAACAACAACTCAGCAGCATAAAGACAATCCTAACGTTCTACATGCTCTGTGTACATCTCAGGGCATTGGGATGTAAACTTCAAATGTCAAATGAATTGAATATAGAAACCGGTGATGGGGGATAGCCTGAAATATGGAAACAGACAGAGCTTGTCTGTCTGAGGAATATGACTTGTTAAGATCCACAGGAGCTACTGGTGCATGTTATGGCTTTTGCTAGACAGGTACAACCTGTCTATATAAGGATATTTTTTATTTGTTTTTACCCAGTTGGTCATGTTGGAAGGAAATGGGTTAAAAATGTCCATCTGCCGTGTGTCGGTATCACAGCGAGTGATCCCGATTATTGTCCCCAGTCTTTCTTAATGACAGCAGATGGCTGACAGAGAAATGCGGTGAAGTGCAGAACTGTCTGGGCACTTTGTAACCCTTTATAAGAAGAAATATTTTTAGGCAATAACACAGAATTAAAAACAAAAACTGCACATTTCAACGATGGCAGATTTTCCTTGTTGGGCACTTCTTTTTCATTCTACACGCGTCAATAACAATACACAAGTCTACACAATGGATTGAGGGCAAATTTAAAGGCAACATCAATCAGTTTCTACTACTGTAGGATAATATAGAAAATGAGAATTAAAATGAAAAATAGTTCGGTATGCGACAAAAAAAAAGTGGTTTCAAGACACTGACCTATGAAATCAGGGTGTCACACGTCACATGGAATTAACCACTGGTTGGTTGGTTGGAATCATAATAAATAAGATGGTATGTTTGGTTCGCAGCCATCCCTTTTTCATGTGAACAGTGTTTACACTCCATCATTAAAGAGGCTGTTTGCTTTCAACATAATTTCGCCAAGCAGCCGACCTTACACGCAGACAAAGAACTCAAAGATGGAAGAATAGTCTGTGCTAGAGGGGCTCTGAGGGGAAGTGAGATGAAAAACAAAGCACAACAGTAACACATTGATATGTCTTTGAGTTTCATGTCACTGCATTTGACTAGGCCTATGATCCTCTATCCAGCAGGTGCCCCTGTGTTAATCGGTTTTCTTCTCTTCAGGATCCTTCTCTCCAACGTCCTCATCCTCTTCTTCTGGGCCCTCCAGCGCCGCAGCACGTTGCCTCTCCTCCTCCTCCTCTTCCTCCTCCTCGTCAGTCAGGCCCTCTCTCTTTGGCGCATCTATGTCATCCGAACCGTCATCAGACTCAGCTGTGCAGATGCCATAGCACATCAGGCTAATTACGCCCAGCGGTAGGCCAAACAGGAAGCAGCCCAGCAGTGGAGAGCTGCGAAACACCGACTGATGAGGGAAAGAAGACAGCGAAAGATGAAAGGAAAATTAAGAACGCGAAGCACGAGGGGTGAGGGAGAGTATAGGGAGACAAATTTGTAAAAGACACTAATACAGTAACTTGAGGAAAACACTGAAATAATCCAGTGAGAAAATACAAGAGAAAAATATATAACCTTAGTTTTATCTTTCAGCAACCAAACACCACTTTAAACACCTTTAACTGCAAATAAAAGATTGATGAATATCTATGAGGGAAGAAAGTTCACAAAATAACTTTTCGCAATAGTGGCATCCTCTTATGGTACCACACTCAAACTCTGTTAGCGCATTAGGATTACCCTTCCTCCACAAATGTTTGTAAAAGCAGACAGCATGGCCAAGAGCTCGATTTTATACCCCTGTGGCAACAGGTCGAAAAGCAACTGGATTCAGTGATTTAGAGGTGTGGCCCAATACTTGTATCCATACAGCGTACCTTAAACTTGCATTGTTTCTAACAGCTGGGGGGGCAACTCTCTGGTTTCGAAAGGTCTCACAGAACAGAAGTCCACGAGGAAGTGATCATTGTTTGTCATTTGATTTAAAAATTTGAGTGAGAATTATTTCCAGATAGGTTTCTAATTACTCAATCGCTATTTCCAGTGTTGTTTAATATATTGTGAAGTTAATATGGAAAATTAAATTATGCTGAAGTGTCTTGAACGTGCACCAGATGGCGACAGCTGTGGTTGCAAATAGAGTCCTGGCCCTATAGAAGTCTATATATAAAAAAAAATCTGTCTTGATGTCTGTGAACACTTTCAGTCACCCATTTATGGTCATGCTGAATAAAAACTAATTTTTAGTGTGTAGATTTGGTTCAAATCTACACACTCATTGGCGAACGACTTGTCATTAATGGTCTCATCCATCACCATGCTCTTGATCTATCTGTATGTCTGTCTGTCAGTCAAAACATTTATGTGCAAACAATAATATTATCCAAGAAATCTGATTTTTTCTTCCTTCACTAACTGATCATCGTTCACAGGATTAATTTTGTTTTCCTTTCTATGGGGAAAAAAAATCTGAAATCCAGCTAGCTTCTCAGCAAGATCCACGCATGACACAGACAAGAAAATGGGGAGTAAAAATTAAAATGAATACATCTGTACACAGTAATCTGAGGTCATTCGCAGAAATAACCAGCTACACTACTAGCAAATGGTAATAAAAGGAAAGTAAAAGGGATGTCAAGTGAGTATGAGGACTGCTTAAGACAAAACAATCTGCTAACAAGAGGTAAATGTCAGACTAAATCAATATCCAGCAAAATGTCAATTCGGTCCGATTGTCTGTCTACCACGACTAACAGCTAGTAGGAGTGATGGTTAGTTTATGAGCTCGGGGCAAAATATAATGAAACTGCCACATGTACTTTGACATGTGCACACATTATCGGAGACTACAAGGGAGGAAATATGATAAATAAGACCCTAAAGCTCAGTTGTGGTCCAGAGGTCCCACGATGAGTCAGTGCTGCAGTTTCTTAAATTCACACACTGAGACTTGCTTACTTGTAACACAACCTGTTCAGTCCAGTCCCATAAAAGCATCACATTGCTCTCAACAACCAGTGTTTGTAGTAGCAAAGAGCCTGCCTTTAGCTGCAGAAAGTTAAGCAAATTCAAATCAGATCTGCAGATCAAAACACTTTTTCGCCAAGTTTGTAACTTATTCATGTATTCTATCATTTACACTACATGTTGTGTAAGTTTTTAAAAAGCTGGTCTTGAAACATTTCCATACACTCACGCAGGGTTTAATGTTTTAGTATTAATTCCACTTCTGTCCTGTAATTTTCAGATGCTTATAGTGTGTTAAACTATTTGTATCGTCTGCTGTGCCGCTTGTTTTGTTTTACACCAAATGACCATATTGGAGAGCGTTGGCCTTCAATCGAACATCCTTCATGTTTCTTTTACTTTCTCATTTTACAAACTCAACTAAGATGAATAAAGAAAAATCAAACACGAGCACAGGCCCACCGTTACGCACTAGTCTTTCTGAAGATACTGCCTGCACACACACTGCCCTGCTTATTACGGGCTCACCTCCCACCTCCCTCGGCTTTAGTGCGTGCGAGCACATTAAAGCCGAAATTATGCTTCCATGAATATGAATGTAAATCTCTGCAGACCTGCACAGAGCATGATGCTATAGGTAACTACAGGTCACAAGCTGGCTAATCTCGCTTATGAGACGAAGATGAAACGGAAATGAGCAAAAAGCTGCTGGAGGAACGTGACGCAAACCTCTGTGGACGCTACATTTGTCGAGACTGTGCTTTCCATCCTAATTACAACCTTTTCATTTTAAATTAAACCAGCGTTAGTGACAAATTTGCACATTTATAACAACTACATTTATCCTTGAGGATCACTTAAGAGAAAAATCAAAGTAAACACGCAGAGCCAACAAGTTGCTCTCTGGTAATAATTAAGGCATCCCTCATTTCACATCCATGTTTTCCACTTTGATACAATTTATTTCTAATATTTCTTAAGCACTCCAGTGTAATTAAATGTTTTTTTTTTTCTTTCAGGAACACGTGAAGCACAATTCAGATGATCTTAATGTAGCAAACTGCATCAGAGAGAATCCTCCTAAAAGGGCACATTCGGTCCCAACTCCTGCCAGCCACTGAGCTGAGAAGAAGAAAAACACTCACGTTCCCTTCAGTCGTTGCCACAGGAAGAGGAATGGTAATTGCCGGTGCTCTGTGATGCTGGATGAGGGAAAGGATGGGCATGCTATGCTAACACAGCTGGCTATGACTCATTGGGCTTAATGCGCTTGCTTCTTCATGCTCCTGTCAGACATGAATTTAAATAGGCTCTCTAGGGGCAAGGTGATGGCTGTTGCCTATCTCCTCTATATTATATCATGTCACTGTAAGCAAAACTAGACTGGTGATACTTCCAGCTTGCTAAATTTAGGAAAGCACAAGTCTCACATTTCATTTCTCTTACAGATGTAAGTCAGACCCTTGACACAAGATTTTTACTTTTAAGCAGCCAATAGAAGAAGTCAAATAAAGATCCTGCATTGTTGCTTTTTTAGCTCAAAGAAATACAGCTTTTCTTTTGCACTGAAACGTTTACCCATTGCTCATCTGGCTTACTTTATCACTGATTTCATTTAATAACCCGAGAGTCAAGCCTGATCTGACGCACGAAGAATTAAACCTTCAATTAATATCTTGTTAAAAGGCTCTCGTTTGAGCTTTAAGTCAAACCCTTTACTTCAATCTAACATTAAAGCATGCGATTCTCATTTAGACATGCTCCACATGGCTTTAAGGACACTGTTATGGGCGGAGCAGAGTGTTAGTCGTGGTTAAAGTTCAACCATGCCTGCTGAGAGGTATTATTCACAGCTGTATTTACATTCCTATCACACCCTTGGTAAAATAAACACTAGTTCTCCCAAAAGAACCAACTACTTAGAGTAAAAGAAGGAGGAGAAGTTCAGCCGCCTGACCCTCTCCTCCCTCAACACTCCACCTCCATCTGCTCTGCTGTTTTTTTCCCCCCCTCTCCCTACGGACTGTTTACTGCCTGTACTGCATATTCTCAGTTGTACATCCAATCTTGTCCTCTAAATGTTGTTTTTCCTCAAAGAGGAAAAGTGGAGTGCACAGGGGCATTTGTTTGACATTGTTGCAGAGCAGCTTGAACACAGAGCATTAACCCTAATTTAGCAAACGCAGTAAAGGTGAAGCACATTTTGAAACACAGCAAGAATATTATTCCATAACAGGGGCAATTTGATATTGTGCAGCACGATAATGCTGCGCTTTAATTGTAGAGGTGAAGCCTGGTATCCTTAAACAGGAGAGCGTCCTCTGAGTAGCATGTCGCATAGTAAAATTACCCTGAAGTAATATTAGCTTGAAAGCTAGATTGGATAATCATCTGCAATGCTCTTATTTGACAAACAGTAAGTGTTGTATGTAATGTGAGAACCCACAGAACATTGTTCCAACTGTATACAAGCCATTAGTTAATAGTTACAATTAGCTGGTGAACACAGAAAAACACATTTCCCCATGAAGGTGGTGGAGACCAAAACAGAACCAAAGCAGTGCAAATATTGAACTTTTGGCCACTGTATGCTTAAGTCAACTTTAATACAAATCTACGATACCGTCTGTCAAAACTGAGAAAATTTGTCAAAAGGTTGTTTAAATCTCAGAAATGTATTGTTATTTATTAAATAAACTGAATTACCAGTTTTATACCCAAATTTCAGCCGGCATACTGAGTCCCTCTGAGAGGTCAGCATAATAATGAAGCATAACATTCAACCACTTAAATTCATTTTTAGGAATGCAACTATGCAACGAAATAATAACAACAATAATAATAATAATAATAATATAGTTTTGGAGCTTGATTCTTCATGAACAGGGCACAAAAAAGACATGATTGAATTTTAGTCATATTGTTTCTTCAGTCCTGAGGAACACTTGATGCAGACATCCTGCAGACTGAATTATTTTACGCTCTTTTGTACATATTTATTGCTTTTTGGTGGAAATCTTAGATGATGTTTTGTATTTCATTTCACTTTGAACTTGAGCTACATCCTGCTTAGGCAATATTCTCTGATTGAAATCTCACCAACTTACCATAATGGTGGACCTGGCATCAAAGGCAACACGTTTGATCCTCTGAATGATGCCGTCACCTCCATATGCCTGCAGGAAGACAGAGTTTAATGGACACAGATAAGCTACTACGTGTAGTCTATCCCAGTTCTATAGGACATGCGCAGGGTTTCATGCACTCTTCAGCTTGGCAACAACAATTTGATGCAGTTACCTGGAAGCATTCCCTAAACCACAAAACAATCAATAAATCAATAAAAACTTCGCAAACAGCAACACATACTATACACAGACTGAAATATCCAGGTTTCAGTTCTCCAGTCATGTGCTTAGTACATTTCAGACATTTTAAATAATGTTTAATTAACCGCTTCCTTGCACAAAATTATCTAATGTGCCTGACTCTAGTTTGCTCACAGTGCAGCAGTTCTGCTCCATCTGAGCTCATTTATTGGCAAAAAGCACCGGGGCAGCCAATGAGTGATTTGTCCTGATGCTAATTCATCAGGATGGCCAATTAGTGAGCTCCAACTAAGCAGGACTTCTGGAAATAAGCTGAAGGTGGGGTATGAGACAATCTTTGTGGATGCAGCTGCTGAACAGACTAAGCACAAATTGCATGAGAACTACGCAAGGTATCAGACATCCTTATGCAAAAACAACATATAAAGAAGTTGTAGCTTTTTCTTCTTAATTGAAACGAAGCAAAGGAACGAGGACTTAAATATGGCAGCAGTGAGTTTAAAAAAATAAAATAATTATTCCATGAAAACCAGGTGTAGCGATGTGACAGACTGCTAAGGTAACTCTGTTCTTGAGGCTGGTTCATGCTTCACAGGAGGCGAATTCCACAAAAAACACACCCAGTTTTCATGTTTTTTATACTTCCATTGAAAAAGCGTTAAAGATTCACAAAACTTGATCATGCTTGGAGCAAAAAAGCTCCCTACACTCCACAAGAAAATCTTTGAAATCCACTTCTATTCTATGGTAACATTTTTTGTGGGGCAAAAACTTTATTTGGTGCATTTCTACATGAAGGACAAACGGGCCCTGAGACACCACATGGCTGAGATTACGAGCCTGACGTGTAGAGGCTGAAACTGTCCGGGGCTTGGCTAAAACTGGACTGCAGAAACATGGTGGTTTCTGTTGCTGTTTATTTGGTGGGAGGGTGGTTTGTTTTGCCAGGCGAAAAATAGCCCAGACCATTCTCGGAAAAAGGAAAAAGACCTTTGGGTGTTTGGCTTATGGTTTCATACATCTGGTGACTTTAGCGTAGAGTAGAGAGAACGATGACATTTATTTTCCAGATTAGTGCGCACACTACAATACAAAGTCATGTAGTAATCTCAGTGTTTGGCTCAGAACATAGAATTATTGCAGATAATCTATTCAAAAGGGAATGCAATATGAAATCTAAACATGCAAAAAGGAGATTGGAAAAATATCTCATCTGATAAAAAAAAAATTTTCTGAGTGGGGGACTTAAAATGCAAGGCAACATGCTTGATTAATGAAGATTTGGTGTGATTACAACAGTACAACATAAGGTGAAGGGGAGCGAAGGCTACACCAGGCTGAATACATAAACAGAAAGCAGGAAAGGGAGGCAAGGGAGGGGAGAGGGAAGGATTTGGACCTGTGCAGAACCGTTCAGAACACTGCTGATGAATTGGACCAGCTGCTCCATGCTTTCGATCGGCTCACTGGGCAGGAAGTACTGCTCGTTGGATGTGTTGAGGATGATAACGGAGGGAACTGTCACCTCGCTGAGGAAAAAAACAGGAAACACGGCTTTTAATCTTCTTAACCCCCACACCTCAGACTGCCATTATCAAAGAGCATCATTAGATGGGAACAAATTGTAGTCTTAAAGAATAAATTGCAACACAGAGAATACAATAGTGAGATAAACAAAACCTTTGTACTCTGAGCAACCCAACTTTTCCCATGGGTTTTCTTTCAAACAGAGAATTTTTCTTTCCCAAGGAAAAAGGCGATGCAGTGTGGCCCATTTCAGAGTGGCATTTCTTCCATCTTTTATACAAAGAGTGTGCAACTCAGGGGTTTTATGGGTCTGTGCCGGTCACAGTTAAAGAGACCTTTACAAACTAAAACTGACAAGTGAAGCCCAGGGAGTCCAGAGGAAGGCAGCTCTGCATCCACACCGAGACACGTACAAAACATATACTAACTACTCCAGTGATCTTACAGGCTTTGTTTTAACAGAAAACACAGAAACAGTGACACGCTGTACGCTGCCAAGCCGGCTCATTTCGACAAATCAGCAGAGGAATTACAAAACTCAGTGAGATAGGGAATAAGGTCATACAAACAACCGATCCCTCTTCCACACGTCTCGCACAACACCAAAGCCTGGCTTAGATAAGGTATCCTAGTGCTTAGATACACACATGCACACAGGCGCACAAACAGTCCATCACGGCGCTGCCACCTTACATCCCCGCGGTGTTACTCAACCCAGCAACAAATTGCACACACACGCACGCATATCCATCACTGTCCCAATCCACCACCCCGCTGAAATCAGGAGTGCAAACATATACGCCTGTGCGGTAGAGTCATCAGTGCCTCACTACTCTGCCCAGCTGAGTTCTGCAATCTCTCTCTCTCACACACACACAACCACACACACATTATGAATGGGTATTTCCATCTGACATCCAGCCTACTCCAACAGATGGCACCCATTTAAAATAAATATGGATTAGCCTAGGTGCCTCAGTTAGTGGGACTACTGGGGGTTCGCCACCATAATTAAGGGTCATATATTCTACCATTTGCACACATTCTTCTTCTACTGCAAAAAATGGTTTCTATGCAATTAGGGCCAGTGGTTTTGTTGTTGTTTTTCTTTTATGTACCATCCTACAAGATCTGTACAAACTGCTAAAGGAATTAAAGTAATAGTGAGCTCATTTCTAGTCTAGCCAAAATTCACTATTCAAGTAATAACTCGGGATTTGGGGGAATTTGCATATTAGATAGAAAGTTAGACGATAAGATACCATTACATGTCTTTGGATTCACTATGGAGCAGGAGCTGAGAAACTATTGGTATTCATTAGAACTAACACAAGAAGCACAGACTACATGTAGGGATGGGTAGATGTGCTCGGTGCTCGGTCTTGCAGCAAGCTATCAAATACGGTGATTTCTCGGCTTTTAAAAAAAGGCTATGCGTCGCCAGGTGTTTCATCAGATTCGAGGTGTTACCTCCTTTGCACAGTATCACCTTAAAGCACTTGTTGCTGCTGAGTTTGCATCTTTTGCTGTGAAGTACAGCCAGACTTTTGACCGCTTCGCCTTGGGCATTTTTAATCTGTAGCTCTGCTCTAAAAGAGCATACGTACCTGGGCCCGCCTACTATCCTTGGAAAGGTAAAATGATTGGCTAGAATCCAAAGTGTATGACATCTCAGGAAAAAAAAAGCACTGAAATAAAGCACTGAAATAAAGCACCGAAATGTGCGCTGCTTTTTGGTCTGGTTACTACCGTTTATGTCAGAACCGGTGCCATAATGACACTGGATACCGGTACCCATCCCTAACTACATGAGAGTCCCATCTTGAAGACTTGAGCCAAGTTTTTTGTTCGTCAGCGTATTGGAGCCACTCTACAGGCAGTCTGCTAACAACCAAAGCAATCACAAGGAGGTTTTTGGTACCTCTTTACGACTGCCAGCAACTATTCGTCATTCCTCCTTTCTCTGGAGGCTGGTCAGTGCTGGGGGGTGACTGACCAGTCTCGATGCCTGCCTGATTAAAGCTTTAGCAATCAATTAAACAATGACTTCTACCTCCAACCTCCAGCAACCACTAACCAACAGTTGTCTAATACTGATTTATCAGAAGCTGTTCCTTATATTCTGAACAGGGTTGTTGTTCATTAAAAATTCAGCAAATGAATTTTAACAAACTAGTTATTAATTTACTGTGAATACAACCAAAGACTTCACAACTGTCTGCTCAGCTTTAGCATGTACTCGCCTACATGTGCTGCAGCTCAAGCTGCTCTGCTGGGCACAATGTGATTACACAATTTCTAAATTATGCAATTTTCGGCATGTCTTGTGCTTTCCCATTGACCCTTTGTGCACATTGGACAACATATATATTAATACATTTTTGAAATATTGACTTTAATGCACTAATGTTAGTTGGTGTTAAAAAATGAAAATAGAAGTGAACAAATTGTGCACAAATTATGTGCAGTTTACACATTTGAGGGCTTCATGTTATTTTATTTCTTTTTTTTTTTTAACAGGACTCATTAGCAACAGTTCATCAGTTCGTTTTTCTCAAAGTTTCCTTTTGCGCTTTGTTACCAGAAGCATTTTCTGAGCATTAATTATTGTAAGAAGGCCTAATTACTAATCCCAGCTGTAAACTATGATAATCATTATCACAGTATGTCCAGAATATACATTTAGGATGCGTGCCAACATAAAATCTGGATAAATATCAATTTAAAGTTATCAGAAAATGATGTTTGCTGACATCAGGAGGTCGTTCATTTGGATGTCCAACTGGAGAAATGCCTTTCGTAATCATTCCCATTCCGATTACAAGTCCTCCCTCGATATTGCCAGTTTTCAGTCAGCTCACATCTTTTCACGTTTTTCACAGCCTACAATGCATCCCATATAAGGGATTAGAGATAATCCTACATTTAAACAGAAACAAAGACGACCTCAGACTTTGAGTGGTTCTCATCTGGTATGTGTGTATTCCTGAGTGTGTTTGTGTGCCTCTGGTGAAAGCAGAAGCAGCCTTACGCCAGACAGACTGCTGCCAGAACACAGTAATCGCTGTGATGACAGAAAGAGGAATAAAAAGCCATCAGATTTATTTCCATGGCCCTCCTAAGGGAAAGGATTAGTGGACATTGACAGGCCAGGATTTTATTCCTCAAAGGAGGGCAATTAATCCTGCGCTACAGCAGCTAAATTCAGTCCCCTAAAACCCAGGAAAAATACATATTGTATGTGCTCATACAAAATTAGGAAGGCTAATCACCTCTTTTATCCTTAAATATAAACACCGCCTATTTTCAACTGTGCACCAGAAGCCTGCTGGTTCAATGTAGTTATATTTCAAGCCATAACTTCTACTGTACTCAGTGACACACTGACTAAATTACACAGGACTTGGGACACCATGTCTGCTATAATCTTGCTCATACAAACAATAACATGCTCAAATTAAAATAACATCCTGCCGCGGTCGTTTTACGCATGCAGATTCTCACACAAAATTATACAGACACACATAATTAGATGCTGTACGTTAGTAGACACAAAACAGACATGCCGACTGCGACGGCCATCCTGGTCGTAGTGGGGTTCTGCCTAATTAAAAGGAAGGGATGTCAGTTTCAAGGCCTCCCTAAGCATGACACCCTAACAGCCAGCCTCAGCTTGGGCACAAAGTTGCTGCAGCAAAGGGTCTAACTGCATCATTAGCGTTGCTCTTTGGCAAGCTATTAGAAAAATACATGACCGCTATAGATTTAATCCACGCACAGCCCGCTTTCCCTAAACTCCTCACATATTCATCTCAATAGGCTGCACTTTCACAACCAGATTTGCATGAGCTTGTGGATCTTTGTGCTTTTCCTGGGTGTATGCTGGATGTAGAGGGGGGAAAGGGGGGTTTAAAGTTTCCAAGAGCACTAAAAAAGAAATGACAGTCTGTGTAATTGACTTCTCCACAAGAGAGCATCTTTAATGGCAGAGGCTGGCATTACAAGTCAGTGCAGACCTGGATAAGTAGCTGACAGAAGGTAAAATGAAGCTGAGAACGAGGAGGATGACACGAGAAGAGAGAGGGAGGCTGAATGTGAGACACTTACCCCATAATGAGGCTGTTAATGTAGTCATTCCCGTCCATGTGGCCAAACTGGAAGTCTCTGGAGATGCAAGAGAAATCAGTGGCATGAGAAAGCGAAACATTGCATCCAAAAAAAGCTGAGTGAAATGAACTCTTTTTCCTGTCTCGGTGGACTGCATGACACTAGCACAAACTGGGACACAAACTTCAACGCACAATAGTATACAGCTATGAAAACTTGGTGAATGAAATTACATGTTCTTGCTATTGGAAACTGGAGAACGCTTTAACAGAGGAGGGGGGGGGGGAATATCCCCAAAGCTCCATTCTGTGCCATCTCCTGTTTCTCCTCATCTTTTCTAGCACAGAAAAGACTCAGGTGATTTATCTAAACGATAAGGTAGGAGGAGGAATTCAATTTGTATCTCATTGTGCTGCACAATGTCTGAGCAAAGTGTATTGTGGGCAGACTAGGAAAGGGGGTTGCACGAGTCCAGGAAAACTAGGAACTTTCTCTGAATGACTGACTGTGGAGGCCTCTAGATATATATTATATTCATTCTGAATCACAGCAACATCTAGGGCATTGGTCCCCTGGGTGCTAAACAATACTGCTTGTGCTTGACATGATTATGAAGAAACTGAACTGTATAATATAGCCACTGGATGCAATATAAAAATCAGTCTGGGTTACTGATAATCTTGCTGACAATAGTGGGCCTGACTGGGAATAAAGCTCATCAAAAAGTCAGCTTATAACTTCAATGCTATAAGACACAGATCAGGCACTGTTAGAAACGATCCAGATCTCAAAGACTGGCAAAACAACCACTGAGATACGAGACTGAGGCACAGAAAATATTAAATTAAATTCCATTCCAGTTTTACTTTGCTATTATTAGTACTTTTCAGATCCGATAAATTAAACATTTACAAGTCTCTTCACCATGTATGTATATCTTTCCACTGACTCTCCTGGCTGGAGGAATCATGGAGCACACTGGCCAAAATAGTGAGTAACCTACCGAGAGCCTTGTATATGTGAGAGTAGAACAAACTGAAGGTAAGTGTGTCCAAACTGTTTGCGTTTTTATAAAATATTCCCTTTGTGGCAAGGTTTTCTAATAAACTTTTTTTAAAATCCTGGTTGTCTATATTGACTTTATCTGCAGTTCTCACTGAGTATTTTCAAAAGTCGGAGCACAACCAAAAAAAAAGAAATTCCAAGTAAGGTGGGCGTATTTTTTCACCTATCTAAACTCATCATTCTGACCATCATTATACTTGGAGCCAAATCCCAGAGGGTGTTTTTATGCTAGGTAATGAGTAATCATAAAATAATCTTGTGGCCCCGTCATCTCATGGCACACAGTTCTTAGAAATGCTTTAAAAACAAAATGTTTCTGTGGGCTGAAATTAAAAGATGGGACAAGCAGTCAGGGTTAAAAAACAAAAAACAAACAACAGTGAATTCATTCTGGATCAGAAGCTCCACCCACCTTCAAAGCGTTCTGCTTGTTTGAGCAGCCAATCAGAAGACAGCTGGCTTTAAAGGAAAGGGGAAGGGAGCTCAAACAGCTTGTTGCAGAGAGTGGATGAACTGAGGTGCTGCACCAACACCCAGTGCAAGGTCAACAAGGATTATTTTCAACAGTTACCATGAAGCGTATGTGCAAGTTCAAGAAGGAAGATCTGTAATCACTCAGCCGCCTGCTTTCCCGGGTACTCGGCTGCTAGTCTATTCCTTTACATCACTTCCACTTTCTCACGCTGTCAAACTTAATGATGACATCATCGAGGCTGTCCAATCATCTTCTTGCCTGCATTTTGCGTACTTTAAATCTCTGTGCTTTTATGTCTTTCTGCCTTTTGTACAACCCACCTCCTCCCCATCACCATCTTCATCTTCACCACCACCAGCTTCTAGACTTCAAGGGGTCCTTCACTCCTATCATAGTCTAATTGCCAAACAGTCTGACTGAATTCTGTATCTCAATAAAATCATGTTAATTTCTTCCAACTGATTCCTACTTATTGAACAGAATAGTTCGCCTAACAAGCAAAAGACCCCATTTCGATTGAGAAAAGAGACACAAATCCCTTGGAGGTTTTGTCAGGAAGGACATCCCGCATAAAAATGTGCCAAATCAAACATGCAGTGCTGCCCGCTGTGGCGACCCCTTAAGAATAAGGGAGCAGCTGAAAGAAGCCACACAAATCAACTCTAGTAGAATGAAATAATAAAAATACAGGCTGCAAATGAGCATAACAGGGTCACTTTTAATACATTCTTATTATGTGATTATACTAAATGTGTATGAGTAAATGTTTTCATCTGTCATTACATTCGCAGTTCAGATGAGGGTTTAAGAGGTAGGATGAACTGCTGTTTACTATGGTCTTTTTTGAAGACCTTTTTTTAAAAATTCATAATACTTGCATTAATTTAGTTTTGCCTATTTACACCAACTATTCATAAGTACTAACCTGGATGTGTTTCTGCTCTCCTAGTGAATTAAAGATCAATGCTTACTTCCGTTTTAGTTTCTTCTGCAGCTAAATTCTGCTCTGCGCTTTCTAGTAAATAACTTGTGCTACGTCGCTGTGGTTTGTGACAGTCAAAAGAGTGACACTTCAGAGTTGGTCATTTTCACATTATTTTTAACAGCAGGGTTTCTTGAAATGTTGCAAAAGTTTCCTTTAAAAAAAAAAGAAAAAAAAAGGAGCGCACAGAGTCGTTTTTGGATAAAAACCTCCAGTTGAGGCAGACATTGTGACATTGCTTGTCATCTTGTCATGAGTGCTGTAAAATATAAAGGCATACACAATGACTGGTGTAGAGTGACAACCCAGCCTACACGCCCATCAAAGTGACAAAAATCAAACTCCGCCACACAAACGTGGGCACGAGTCCTCCACTGCCCCACACCAACATTTCTGCAAATGCTACAAACTGAAGGTGAACTAATACTACATCAAACGGCACCAACTCATTCAAATGTCAGTCACCCCCTATGCTCTGTTGACTCTGTATGCTGGCTCCACCCACTAACAGGGGCAACACTCGGCAGCTTGTAATTACAAGTACCGTTTAGGTGTGTCTGAACGCCGCAGGCAGCTCTGATCTCAGTAGGGATCTCAGACTCTGAAGCCTTCAAAAACAGCGCTGAGTAGTGTGGCAGACAGTAGTATAACAGATGATAGGGATCTGTGTAATTCAATCAGTCTTAATGGGCATGCCTGCAGAGTGAGAAGCACTTTTATCATTACGGTTTGAGACACACCTCTTCATTCAAAAGCAGAAATGTATCTGATGAAGCAACGCGGTCAATGACAGGACACAGCGAGGAACTAAAGCACTGCATCATTATGCAAATGTATTGGACTTTTTTTTTTTTAACTAATCTTTTGTGGCAATCCACCTGGTGACTGACTCCCTGCTGACAGTGATCAGAAATGAGGGTCACATAAAGAACAGCAACCTTTGAGCTCATTTTACCTGAAGCCACTTCAGCAAAAAACCCCGTTTGCTTCCACCTGGGTGCTGTAGGGGAAGGATGACCTGCCAACTATAGCGCACTTGAGCAAAAATAACAATAGTGGCAGTGTGAAATTATGCATTCAAGTGTTTTTTTATCCTTTCATTTGCCTTGTTACGCTGGCTCCTCTCCTGTAAAAGAACAGGTCGAGCAGCACAGCGCGTAACATAAATACCCCATCTCCAGTTGTTATCGCACAATTGGAGGCAGAGAAAACAGAAAATTATGCATTAATACAAGCCGAGTTGTGTTTCTGAGTGACAGCTGAAAAGAACACCTATATTTGGAATCTGACATTTTGCATAATTACGTTCCTACTGAACCTCAACAAAAACAGACGTGCCCTGACAAAGGTATAACTTGCTTGTGAGTAGACAGGCAGCGTTCCCCAGTGAGTGCAACATCCTAGAATAAATGTATAAATTGGATCTCCGTCTTTGACCTCATCATTTACCCGTGCCTTACCTGTTAAAGTGTTCCCGGTATTCCTTTGCCACCCTCTGCATCAAGGTCTTTAATCTAAAAGCAAATTAGAAGACAGAGAAATACCACACGAGTTGGAGTCTAACCTTTTTTTAGCTGTTGGCTGCAATTTGTAGGCAGATGCAAACAATAATGGTCTTATCTGTATTTGAAAGCCATGCACTTAAGCTCAATTATTGTGGTGAGAGTGGGAGTAATTTATAAGAGTCATGCTTTTTAATTTCAGTGTTCTTTTGTACCTGCCACTCTCCTCTGTGGGGTCCTTCTCATCGATGATTGCAATTGCCACCAGTTTGCCTGAGGTGGAAGACAAGGATTACAAATCAGTCAGACACACAAAAAGGACGGTGAAAAGACAATGGTGGGAGGGTAAGAGGTTCCGGAGGAGATCTATCACCTCTCAATAGGGGAAGAAGAAAGGAAGGGACACGGCGAGCACTTTGCTCATTCATCACTCAAACATTAAGCTAGCTTAGGCTTTCTGCTCGGCTGAATAGGAAACAAGTGGTCACTTTGTGGTGGGAGAGCTATTTCAGTGCCATTCAAAACCCAAACCCACAACAAATAGATCTGCTTAAAAAGCACAACAAAAAACTGTTACACAACTTTAAAGGTTTGTTACTCGGCCTGATATGCTTTGATGCTACACGTCCCTTGCTGCTTGGGTGAGAGTGCCAGCCTGCCCCCTGGTGGTCACTCACGTTGATTAGATGCCAAGAATGAGGTTATATAAAGAAAGTTGCCAGCTTTGCATCAGGAGAAGGAATAATATTTAACATGTATATTCAGTGAAATTATACTGTATATCTAAATAACTTTGATTGCAGATTTTCTGTAACTGCTGGTGGAAACAGAAAATCAGAGAGGAAAAAATGTTAATTTATGGTTCAGTTGGTGTTTTTATTCTTCATGGGAATACAACCTGTGGAAATGTGTATAATTAACTCTGTGCTGTGTTTGAGCATGAGCACAGCAGCATCATTCATCTGTGTATTTCCAGGAAGATTAGATGGATTCTGCACAACTCAAGTTGGAAAAGGACAAATTAAGTTTTACAATAAAATTGCACTACCATGCAAGTATTATTTAGACATTTATGGAGTATTTTTTAACAATGTAGCCAATTTAATAATAATTTACTATGGCAAATAAAGCCACTCAAGTGCAGCAGTGTTCAAAACCTCTTTGTTTTTCAATCCTCTACATGTGGCAATTTCACTAGTTACATATGCTGATAAGCATCATAGGCTTCTTATTTTCTATGAAGGTGACAACAAGGTGTAGTAAGTGCAATTATAAAAGTGAGTGCATTCAAGTGATTAATGAGGGATTTCTTCACATAAATATCAAGTCTGCAGATTTAAAAGGAAAACAGTTAATAAATTGACTTTTGGTTCAGAAGCCTTGCGGCTCTTTCCAGAGGATCGGATGTCAAACATCAGATTATCCGAAAGGGTCTGTGGGGTTAATTAAAGAGCTAAAAAGACTAATCCTATGTGAAAGGTGGGTTTTTCACAACCTGGCAACTTAAAAAAGCTGAGCTTGTGACCTACTCATAATTGATCCAGAATGCATTAAATAGATCTAATATTAATAAACGTATTAGTGAAAACTTACAACCGGCACACCCATCGAACATTATATTTACCGTGTTTGCACTGTGTCGTTATTTATTCAACCACTTTTTGAAACCACTGATGTTTCTCAGCCTGCTACCCTCTGGCATCAAAGCCCCTCGTTCTGTGAATTTAGTTGTAATTTTTGACCCACAGATGAAATGAAGAACCACTGGTGTTATTTTCTACAGCTTCGACATCCAATACTTCCAAGCTCTGTGATCATAGGGTTGTTATTATATCTTTTAAACAATCTCCAAGCAAAAAGATCAAAGCATAGAAAAGATATTTTTCATGGCTTACATGTAGACAGAATTTCTGAATCCCTTACTGCTCAAGTCTCAAGTCCTTTAAATTCCAAGATTTTGTAATAATAGCTTTAAAAAAAAAGAATTCACATATTCTAAAATGTCGTATTACATTTCTATCAGGTTTCTATTCATGTTTGACCTGCAGAAGTTGTTTATTCACTAGTTCACTGCCTCCATCCAATAACGTGTGAAGCAAGTTGGATTCTAATGGGTTAAATTAGAAAATCTGCAAATTAACCGCACTATGAAAGCGCTTGCTTACTATTTATCTTCTATCCCCAAAGAAAAACCTTCAATGTTTCTTTACACCGCAAAGAAATCCAAACTGCTGCCTTTTAATTTTAAAATCCATGTGTTGCATGTTTTTTTGCTTTCAGTATGCTACCAATATAGGTCTCATGTGCTCTAAATCTTAGCCCATAAATTACAGTTTCAAACTTTTCAATGGTTTGGTCACACTGGGGCTGTCGCGGGTACCAAGTTCTGTGTCAGTGTGACTTACGATGTGTTGGAGCAGGGATTTTACAGCATGAAATGTCACTCCTACAGCTCCGCTGAGCCCAAGAGCGTGAAATCTGATGCTTTGTTGAAAAGGCTTCAAAGACAAGGCTGGCAAATTCACAGATACACATCAAACTTAACAATGTAGCCTTTAATCAGTTACAGTGTTTATCCAATTAAGATGCTATGGAGACCGTGTTATATGCAGAACTGTTAAAACTAACTGGAAAGCCTGCTATATGGATGGGCCAGAAACTAAAACTGCACACAGTAACACATTTAAGCAACATTCAACTGTTGAGCATCACTGATCTCAGCAACATCAGCATAAAGGAGGAAAACACTGTATCTAATATTAGAAAGCACAGCTTTCTCTGCACAGACCATCAATTTACTGCCGTTTAAGAGGCAGTTTGTATTTCACTCTTGAGCTTAAATTTCCTTTTAGAGGAGAAGTGTATGTACATTTAAACAAGCAGAACATGGGCTATATCTGGAGGGAAGGGATACTCTTTGCTACCTTAGCCCTGGATATTTTTACTGGATTTTTTAAAAACAGCAGCTCTATGTTGTTTGATTCTTAAATATAAAGTTGTTAAGTGGAAGACATGTTTAGAGATTCTAAAATATTAAGGGGTTTTACAATGTAATAAAATGAGGCAGGCAGTCTGAGCAAAGCCATGTATAAAGTGCTGATGCAGTTCAAATGATATAAGATGGTATTCAATCTGTAATCACTTTGGTTCCACAGTCATAAAGATTAAAAAGGACACACACATAAAAAAAACACATTAAAAGTCCCACATCTTAGGCTCACAATTAACAAAATACAGCCCTTTAAAAAACAGTCATTCTGCAGAAAATTGATCTGTATCTATTCTGATAATAAAGCAAAGACATAAAATGTCCCAGTGCTGGGTTTTTAAAAGTGATCATTGGCTGCATGTCTTGTTTTCCATGAAAGGAAACTGAATATTTTGAGGTTTTCGGTTCATTCTTCTATTTCTCAGTGAAATTTCAGCAATTAATCTACTAACCAAAAAAACAAATGAAACTAGACCCAGAAACTCACGATTCCATACATTTTGAAGCAGGATATTACAGTACTGTGCAAAAGTCTTGAGCCACCTGTCATTTTTGTAAACTTTGCTTCTAAGGAGCAAGACTTTCTCCAAATCAGTTTTAAAGTCCTCTCATGCAATAGTTCTTCAGGTTTTCTGATTATTATTGTTACGTCCCTCTGCAGCCTCTAATCTGCTCAGTGTGTTCAGCTGGTGCTAATTGGCCACACCTAATCAGGTGTGGATAAAAGCATACCTGAGGCAAGCTTCCCAGGGAGCTCACTAGTCTTTGCCTTGGTGGCACCAGCCATTTTAGCCAACCTGTCCATTTTAAGATAAAACCTCTTTTCACCTACACGCTGGTATTAGTCTCCTTTTTTATGTTGCAGCTTTTGAGCCGGGTCGTAACAATTATTCAGAGGAATGATTGTTTGTCAAGTTCAAAGCCCTAACATATAAATAATTCAGGCATAAAAAGGCCACCTAACTCAAGGGTCTACATATGACAGTTAACTTGGCAGGGAATCTTAACTGTATTTTCATTATCTTCACAGGTTTCAATAGATCACTGCATCTATTTCTCATTTTCTTAGCAAAATCTAAAGAAATTAGGGGTGGCTCAAGCCTCTTGGACAGTATTCTATTATAAACCCTAACTAAAGTAAAAACAATGTGCAAAGGAAAATGAAATTCAGGAATAAATACGTTATATATTGAAAAAGAGCATACGCCACCTGTTTCCCCCAGCTCATACAACGTAAAGCCATCAATCTGAAGGTAACCTTGGAAGCGCTCCTTGTTCACCCACAATGATAAGCTACTGTCCTCGTACTCTGCAACACAGACAGGTAAAATCTTTCAGAAACAGAAGCACAGAGCTAATCAACATTCAGCCCAAAGACTGCCTATAATAAAAAGGGAAAGCAGAAGAGTGTATTGATGGCTGGAATGTAAGAAGATCAGCGTTTGCCACCTGTATGCATTCTTGGGGAACAAAGAGCAAGACAGAAGCTGAGCAGTCACAGCCATAGGTCAGATAAACAATGACCAGAAACTGTTTTGACAGCCAGCTGCCTCTGGCTTAACAGTCAGGCAGGGTATTCAAGATCTGAAGCAGCACAATGATCTATGACTCAGAGCGAACAGATTGGCAATCGATGGAGATGTAAACAATCAAACGCAACAGATGGCCAAGTCATAAATCAAATAACAGTTTGTTTAGCTTTGACTGTTCACAGTCACATTTCCAGATTAATTACTATTTATCAAATAGATGGCTGTCAAGAACATTAAGAGGAAAAATACTGTAATTTTCATTCACAATTGATGCCTTTTCCCCCAAAATGCTGGCTAACCTGACCTAATTTTAACAGCTAAGGAAAGAAAAACATCACATTTGGTTTGTAAATGATTCTGCAACCATACATTTATTTTTAACACATCTGGAGCAAATGTATAATTCAACAGATGCAACAAGAGAAGAAAAAAAAATCCTATCAAATGCACCATATAAATAAAAAAAAATAAACAAAGACAGAAAAATAAAAAATTACTTCCTGAATGCGAGCCACATGTTGTTGCTCCTCTAACATCTGGAGGCAACACGCAAACAGGAAGCAGAGAATGTCCCTGGAGGGTATAAATAGGGTGTAACGAAGCTGCTTAAACAACACCGTTTTCTCCAGCTGAGAGGCTACAGGACGCTCATAATTGATGTCAAATGTAGCCGGGACCTTATTATGACACGTTAATAAGTTACCGTGACCTTTCGCTACCATCATAGTAATTACAAGAACACTGATGACTTTTAACATGATTCTCATCCTGCAGGGCTCCAAGTGAGCTGGAAGCATAATACTAAACATGACAAGCTAAAACCTGGAACACACTTTTAAACCCCCCCCAAGGTCGTAGCTTACAGTAGTATTAGAAACTATTCCTCAGTGATTATACTGTGCAAAGGGAGCGGAGCCTTGCTGTTAAGACTGCTGAGTCAGTGGATAGGGCAGACATTCCAGAGAGTTCTTTCCACAGATGTTCTGGCTTTACAGACAGCATGCAGCTTCCCAACTTTACCCCAGAAGCAAAAGAAAGCTCGGAGGCCCCATACTGGGGTTGTACAGCCTGATCCACCTCTACACCGACTGAACCTGCTTCACCTTGAAACAAATTAGAACTGCTTTCTTCCCGGGCGCCACCCTCACAATCTCCATACTGCCCTACAGGAGCCCTTCAGCCCAGAGTTCACACAGTGGGAGGTGAGAGAGAAAGATGAGGGGGAATATAAACAGACAGTGGGTGGAGTGAGGATGATCCAGTGTCAGAGTTTGGAGCAGAGGGAGGAGGCAGCTCTGACACATTTCAAGGATGAAGGTTAATGGCACAGAAGACCTCCAAGACAATGCAAAAAGTGTAGAAACAGAACCACAGGGGGAAACGCATAGAGAGGGGAGGAAGCTGCTTCATAAAGATAACTCAGACAGCGTACGATCCAGGAGAATGACGTGTTGAAATGTGACACAAAGCTCGGTGTAATGATGGGTAATTTGCTATTATAAAAAAGAACACATAAGGTTTAACAAAGAAGATGCTTTGGCTCAACTGCTAAAAGGAAATAGGAATACAACAACAAATAAAAAGAGTGTGATATAAAAATATTTTATGTATTGCTCAGTTATAGGATCGGGTAAAGATAAAGAAAAAAAATGATGCTGTCAGTAGCTAGCAGCTCATATTCATGTAAGGTAATGCTTGAGCAATCAAATCAAACAAAGCTATATCGGTTATAGTTAGTTATATTATTTATAGTGAAGAAGAAGCCACTGTTGGTGACAAATGCCACATGAATAAAAAAATATAGAAAAGTGGACAAGAGCCATGTAGTAAGTAGACTTACTACTAAAGTAAATTCACTGAAGTACTTCACTGTATTCCTACTTTAATTACTCCACTGTAATTTGCATGCAACTGCAGAATGTGGAACCCCGACTTACGAATACCCCATTTAACGAAAAATTCAAGTTATGTAGGCACTTAACGGCAATATTTCTGCCCGTGTTACGGCAACATGCCCGCATAACGAAATCCGCTGGCTCTGATTGGCTGAGCCCAGAATGCCTACAATGCCTTCCGGATCATGTGACAACCCCCTTGGCTTTCGTACTTGCGCTTCGCTATTCCACTTAAACGGTGTATTGTTGTTGCAGTTAGCAATTAGCCAATAGCCTATCGGTCACTCAAAAGGCGCGATGGGTGCTTCGACTTAAGAGAATTTTCGACTTACGAAAGACCCTTGGGAACGAATTAATTTCGTAAGTCGGGGTTCCACTCTACATTATGTACTTATAGCTCAGCAATAAATTAGTAATTAAACATTACACCAGCAGCTGGAACAATAATTTGATCATTTTGACCTAATAATTTGACAATAATTAAACATTTGACTTATGTTAATCATGTCTAAATACTTTTGTCCACTTTCCAAAAACAATTATCCAAAATAAGATCGTGAAATCCACGGTCACAATTTACATGCAGCATCTCTGCCTTTTTTGCACTTCATACCCCATCTCCCACCCACCACTCCTCTGTCCAAACAAAGTAAAAACAACAACCAGTTTCCATCAATGTCATTCACGCTGACCTTGCCAACACTGCAGATTGCAATAACCAGTGAAATGAAGGCTGACCGTGTGCGCTGTACCAAAATGTCATCATTGTGTTATCACCTGTTTAAGTGTGATCTTTTCTGTCATCACATTCACAAACTGTTAATCATCCTGTCATTTACATGATCCCAATAAACATATGCAAACACATTCGGCCTCACAGCTGGCAGCATTATGAATGTTTCCATACAAGGAGTGGAAAGGCCAAACCATTAACCACTGAGTCAGATTAACAGGAAGCCTTATGTGGAGCTCTGAGCATTAGGAGGACTCAAAGACCCAAAAACGTGTCTAAAGACTGTTGGCAAGTGAAACAGTTACAAATGCCATACTGTGCATGCTGACATATATGCTAATTATATTTTTCTGCTTTCTTACATGTTGCCCAGTAGCTTTCAATGCAGCTACACAATGATCAAAACCACTTGGCCTTTGAAGCACAATAGCAGAGCAGACCTGTATAACTGTATGAAACAGAGGATTTGGATAATTAAATATGTATGAGCTTCTGTGTTCTACTATATCTTAACAGTGCTTTTCAAAGGGGATGCCGCTATTTGTGATGCGCACTAAAGCAATCAAAGCTAAACAATAACATGTCAAATATCATTTTACACAAAGCGAGAGCTTGTGTTTGGACAGTGTGGTTGTGCTCAGTGGGACCCGTTCTTTAAAAACAAGAGTGCACAGCAAGAACAGCAAGTGTGCAGTGAATTTCTAATGAGTACTTTGAATCTGTGTATTCGGAAAATACATATGAAAGCAAATAGTTGGCGGGGGGGCATGATCAAAGTCGTTAGAATATCTTGGCAGCTGTCGGCCTCTAAAGCTAGAAGATAAACAACAGTGCAGCAAAAAAAGAACGTGTCAGTTTCACAGTATAATACTCACACGCTTGACTAAACGTCACAGCCTGCCATAAAACAGTGTCACTAGGTGCCTATGCAAATGGGCTCATAAGTTTAGCCATATAAAATTTTCTGACTGAACACCATGCAAAGTGAGGGCAACAGCAAACCATATGAGGTGTGGTTGACTCATTTATTCCTTCATCCAACATTTAGCCAGAAGACCTTCAGGGAGACTAGAAGCATACTACAGCAGATGGACAGAAAGCCGAGGCTGAAGGCTATAAGTCTTTAAAAAAGCGAGGCAAACCACTTTCTTAAATTTCTCTTTTGCTATCACTTGAGGTAAGTGTCTAATGCTTAATGACTCAGTTTCTGTGTTACTATACTAAATAATCAAAGTTTTTTTCTTCTGCAGTTTACGAACGACTGAAAAGGACAAAGAAAGGAAGGACACAACCATGTCATTTTGCCATGCTGCTCCTCTCCTCAGTCCTTGACAAGTTTAACACACCGTCACCATGGCAATGCTACAGATTCATCACATCCTCCGTATCAGAGTCCTAGAGGACTCTGCAGAGTGTGGAGTTTTTGTGGTTAACATCTACTGTGGCGAGCCTCTTCTGCTGAGATTCTGGTGCGTGAAGCCCGCCTTCCGAAATGGTCAGGTGGAGCAGATGGATGCAAACGCACAGACCGCAACGCAGATGGATTTTGTTCTCCGGGTCACACACCGTGCGCCTGACCTCCCTAACAGCCACTACTGGGGTCCGTTTGTGTTGTCGCTGTGCCTCGACGCTCTTCGCTTCCGGTTCCGCCTGCCAACTCAGGCCCAAAGCGGCAGAGAAATACAAGAGATCATGGAGGAATGCGGTGAACTCATGTTACTGCGCTGAAAGCTTTCAATTATGACCTGAAAAAGCAGATCCTCTAAAGCTTTTACGCATCGCAAATGTGATTTTCTTTTTTGTCTGCTTTGACTCGATGGCTGATGCAGCGATTCACCTCTTGGCTTTGACTGTATACACACTACCAGCTCTGCGCTCTTCTTTGGTCGAATCTGCGGTCTCGCACGCCCACTCAAGCCAGTTCATCCACCCTGGCCTGCTATGTATGTCCGCCCAGAGACAAACTGCCACAACATCACTGGCCTAACCACACACACAATAGTGGGCAGAGCCTGGGGTGCTTTATGATGGGCCAGGCACACCATAACTCAGTGTGGTGAGGATGAAAGAGCAGCGGCAGGAACGGGAAAACTACATGAAGACAGCTCTGGTTACAAAGTTTATGTGAGAGGCGAGAAGGAGGAGGGAATAGCAGGCGGGAGCAGGAGACAGCATGGCACCCTACTGCCCTCTAGTTAAGCTATTAAACTAAACCAATTGAAAAAAACAAGACAACAGTAGTGGACAAAGCCTAAAGCAAATAAAATACTTACCATCATAGGTAAAGTAGCCTCCATCTTTAAAGACTACGACAGCAGGAAGCTCTGGCAAAGATACTGACTGTTGAAAACACAAAAACACCACTTTAGACAAAGATCCATAAATCATATAAAATATGTGAAAAACTCTTTGTACTGGGAAAAAAAAACATCAGAGCTTGTAACGTGTGCAATCCCAGGGCAAGAGACATGCTCAAAGAATCTAAATACATTATCTCAAACTAGGAAAATATAACTGCATGTGTCATTCCCAAGTGCATTAATGACATGTTTGTGAGTGTATCTTTGTGAAATTAATTTCATACTTTCTAAAGACGAAAGATGATCGCCTATTCAAAGCATTACCTCTGGCAAGGCTTCCTCTGAAGCAGAGAAGAAGTAAGTATAGACGATGAGCTCAGAGGCAGCGTCGTTGTACTTCTCCTGCAATAGCAAAAAAAGAAGGAAAAAAAAAAAGGCTTTCGGTATTCAAAGATTGTAAATTATCACTTGAAGGTATTGCATAGAATTAATTCTTTCTTATATTATGTCAATGCTGCAGCATAGCATTGCCCCTATGATGCAGACTTTTGTGTGGTTGCTAAAGAATAAAAGAATGAAAGTGTATTGATGTATGTTGCTTACTTTGAGAGGAGAATCCCCACCAACATACACAAAAAGCACATCGTGCCGTTTCATCATGTGCTCAAACATCTGCTTGCTGGGAAGGGCTCGGACGGCTGGTCTGATGGAATAAAGAACAAACAAACAAACAAACAAACAAAACATAGACAGGAGTTCATTTTGATAAGTATTTAAACCTCACAGAGTACAACAGTGATGTGTAACGTCCTAATCTTGGTTTCTGTGCTGCTAGCACCACCCAGTGGCAGTTCAAAAAACCACTGCAGTCCTCAACCCGTCTCCGAGCCAAGCTTTTGATCAGCCCCTCTGTCACGGATCTAGTTTGATTTCCCTCAAGGAGGGGAGAAATCTGTCAGGCTCACTTGATACAGTGGTTTAAAGTGGAGCATCAGAGGCAGAAATCCATTGAGCTATGAAACAAATATGGCCTGGGTTGATAAGCTGCCTTAGATGGTTTTCATTTAGCTTGGCATGTCTTCCTGTGAAATAAGGGAAGTTCTACTCGGCTCTCAGTTTCTCCTCATGTTGATTTCCAAGTGTTGTTTGAACCCTGTAACTTACCCTGCCACCCTGTTGGCAAACTCTACAATATCATCTTTTGTCCTCGGTCCCTTGTAATTGTAGGCAAGATCACCCTTTAACCTGAAAATAATAAGAAAAAATAGTGAAAGACTGAATATTTCATTGAAAACCCATTCAACACCTTTCACTGTTTTGTGCCAACAGAATGACACCGCTTGCATATTTATGTGAAACTGAATAAAACGGGAATTAACTGCTTGGCAGTCATGCATTCAGGATTTGTATGAAAAAAGAATATTATGCAAGAGGTGTACGTCGAACTAAATTTTCTGATTGGACCGCTCTTTTGACATTTTAGAGTAGATTATTTTTGCTGTTTAAGCAACACAAATATTTTTTTCCTTCTACTGGTTCTTCCTCATTTTATATAGCAGGTGCCAATTTTTTGTATGCTTTTCTAATGTAGTGTTGGACCCACCTTTGCCCACTTAAAAAATCCTAAATTAATTGGTGGCATAGATTCAGTATAATATTGGAAACATTCCTTACAGATTGTTTACCATGTTCATATAAAACCAGTACACGATGCTACAGAATTGCTGGCTGTACGGCTCTCCCTTTCAACCTCATCCCAAAGGGGGTTTTGGTCGAGAGCCGAGGCGAATGGAACATACAAAACCCGCTGGCATGTCGATGGAACCGGCTTCAGATCATGTGTGCTTTGTGAAATGGCGCCTTACCCTGCTGGCAGTGGCTATCAAGAGATGCACACGGTCAGCAACAATACTCGGCAATGGCATTCGAATGATGTTCAGTTGGTATTAAGGGCCTTAATATGCGCCAGGGAAAAGCATTCCCCACGCAATTTTACCACTAACCCAGCCTGAAGCGTTGACACAAGGCAGCTGGATGCCAAATCGTGACCCTACCATCTGCGCATTACAGCAGAAATCTAAAGTCATCGTACCAAGACATGCTTTTCCACACTTCAGTTTTGGTGAGTCACAGGGAGTGAAGCCTGGTTTGGTCTGGCCAATCAAGTTTCAGCGTGTTACGCATACTGAGATACTGATCTGCAAAGCAATCATGCTCAAAATAGTTGCAGTCACTTTTCTTTTTGGGGGGGGGGGCCTTAACCAATCAAGCAGTTCTCCTCTGACCTCTGTCATTGACAAGAACAGCCCATCACTGGATGTTTTTGTTTTTTATATCTAATTTTGTAAACTATGGAGACACCTATTGTAAGTTAACAGGAGTTAGCAATTTTTGAGAAACCATTGCAATAAGCAGTTTTATAAATCCACCTGTTCCCTTTCATGTTATAGGTGTCTCATATGTTATACATTGAATATAAGATATGTGGTATATGATGTGAAAAGAAAACAAATTGAAAACCTAGAATTTAATGCCAGATTAAGCCTTTCTTTTACAGACGTTTCCATCATAATTTTGAAACTCTGCCCATGTTTTATATTAACATCATACCTTTACATATGAAATGAATGCCTTTAACAATAAAAAGCAAATTATCTCACTTAAAAGTCTGTGACCAACATCTGAACTTAAAAACAACAACCTGTCATACAAACAGCATGTTCTGGTGAAACAGCACCTACCAGGAAAACCCTGTTCACCGCAAAGGTCAACTTAATCTAAATCATTACACCTCCAATAGGGGAAAAAAAAAAGACAAATGACTTTACCTAATTGAGTTCCAGCCGAGAAAACTGCTCGAGTCGAGCTCTTACAACAAGCAAAATGCATTAAGGATTGCTAAGGTTGCATCAGCCCACGGCGCTTAATGAACTCAGGGGGAAACAGAACTCTAAATCAAGTCTCCTTCTGTCACCAAGGGAGGTATCTCGTGTTCTTCGATGGATGTTTCATCACTTGCTTGGTTTAATGTTATGAACCCTGTAGTGATCTTGTGGCACTTTCCCAAATGAGCTTGATGAAACTAAATGGGGAGCCCATTATGTTAGTGTGCTGATAAATGATTCAGCTTCATATAAATGGAGGGAACTCTGCTAAGTTGCAAGATCATTTATCTCATGTCAACATGAGCCCTGCCGTTAAGCAGCTGGTGTCTACCTAAATTCATTCATTTTATAATAAAAAAAATGGCACTTGAATTTTAAGAAATGATTTGAAATAAATTAAATGGAAAGTATGCGCTAAAACATTTGGACAACTGCATTTGTAGTTTCACAGGTACACTCAGATATACTGTAAGAAAGGCATACGAGTGAAATCAAGAAGCTATTGCTAATTCCAATGACTAAAGGGAGTTTTGCACAATCATCCCACAAGAAATGTGTAATTAACAGCACTCTGAAGTGCCAAACTAATATAATTTTTTTTCAAAATGTGTGAACTGACTTTGTTACTTGGTTATGCCTTAAGGAGAAAGCAACAACACCTTATTCCCTCTTGAATAATTTATCTAAGGGCATCTCCAAAGGCAAGGCAACAAGGGAAAAAGCATCTTTATAATGACACAAAATACACGCAGGTACACTTAGATACAGGAGGTTACAGTGGGGGTGGGGTGGCTGAAGCAATAGCTAGAGTATAAAATATAAATAATGCAACAGCCACATAACAAATTACAGTCCAAAATTACTACATGTTGGTGAAAAAAAACGCTCCTCTGATTAAATAGTGAAAGGAAAATTACTGAAGCTTCACAAAGACAGTGTTACCTGCAAAACAACTTTAATGGAATAATTAAATATTGTGTTCAAATTTAATTAACCTTTTAATAGCATATTACTTTTTCTAAGCGCTCAAGTATAATAACTTGTTTTAAAAAACTGCTTGGTATTACTTCCCATAAAGTCTATAATGAGTGTGGGATATATTCAAATCATTTAACTTCATCTTGCATCTATACCAAACTAAAGAGTGGTACTTACAGTTTTATTGTGGGGTAACCACGAACACCAAACTCTGATGCCATTCCTGCAACACAGAAAACAATACAAATCATACTTGCTTTTTTTGAAAGGCTTAATCTCCACATCTTGAAAGACGTCTCTCTCTTTGAAAGATTTTAATACCCTCTTATAATCGTCTTAAAGGATTCAAATGCTCTCCTAATTTAATCTCACTGCAAAAATTAAGTATATCTCTCTGAAGCATTACAGATTCAAAAAGAAAGATGCTTTCCTGTGGCTGGAGAATACGTGTCCATAGATTAATCTTGCAGTTAGCAGCTGCTTAATAAGACACAGAACTGTTGCATTTGTAGAGGTATAATTTTTACTCTAACACACTTGTAATATTGCTGTACCAACATCCCTACACGTCACACAAATGTCACAGTAACTGGCATTAATACTCTAATGTTTATATTGAAAGCATCATGATGTTGAACAACATGGTCCATTACAGAGAAATGTTGTCTCTAGCACATAAAGTAATCACCTGGGGGCACGCAAGCTCCAGGGGAAGACATTAAACTGCTACATGATTTACTCACCAGAGTAAGCCGTAGCATCCATCTTTCCCACACGAACCGGCGACCCTGAGCTCTTCAGCTCAGCTCCTACCTCATGCCATATTGGCTCTAGTTTTTTACAATAGCCGCACCACGGAGCATAGAACTGAAAGAGACCACAAGAATTTAAAAAAAGCATTCTTTAGATCATGTACAACCTACTGTGAAGTCTTTCATATAATCATAAACTATATTAATAGCGACCTTAATATTGCGCTGTCAAGATTCACCCCATTGTTGAAAGGACAAACACAGCTGAGTTAAAGCATTATTGGTAATTAACAGCAGATAAAAAAGGAAGAACAATTGCAGTTGTTTAATTTTAAGCTAAGCTTGAAATAGTGGTTCAAGAACTGTACTCATGTCATCCCGTTTTCAAAGAACAGAGAAAAGAGAAGGTGCTTTCAGCTGGTCCTTTATTTCCCAACGGTTCACCACAGAGGATGGATCCGCATATTTGATTTGACACAGATTTTATGTCGGCAGTCCTTCCTGATCCATCCCTCCCATTTATCAGGGTTTGGGACGCTAGTATATTTTCATATTTTCTACATTGCAGAAGTCTGAACTTCATGATGTCACATTAACAGTACAGATGCAGTGTCTTTAGTACCGGGGCAAAACAAAGGCAGAGTTGTGGTAAAAATAAGGCACACCCTGCTTTTACTAATCAAATGCACTGGTCATTAGCAAATGTGAGCACTGCCATAGAAACAGACGTTTTTCCTGTCTGGAGCACTGACACTTGTTTGCCAGGAAGGAACGACATCTGCAATGCAGTGTCTAACTGTTCTTAGAGAAGGAAAAGCTGCTGTCCATCTGTGTTGGAGAGGCTATATGACCATTTCCAAATAATTAAAAGTGCATCATTCTACAGTGAGAACATGGAAAATTCAAGACAATTGTTAATCTTGCCAGAAGTGGACATCGCGGCAAGTTCACCCCCAGAGCATCTCAGACTCTACAGGCCTCAGTTAGCATCTTAGATCTTAACATTAGTTAACAGGCTGAAGTATGGCTAGTCGTTCTACAAGCTAGTAAATCAGTAGACACTGGGGTGTACTTAATTTTTCCACAAACTGCTTCTGCATTTTCATGATTTACTGATAATGACACTGTGTGATATGTCACGTGCTGCTGTCCATCTAAGGTTATATTTACCAAATTTTAAGACTTGGTAAGGAGAGCATTACTTCTATTATGTCCCAATATAAAAAATGTAGAATTGGCAAAAGGTCTAACTTTCTTTTTGCCATGACGACACATTAGCTACCTCTAAGGGAGACTATAATTAAATGTTAAACTCTCTCGTTTTTAATATCTGTCTGTTTGCTGGTAAGATTTATAATACATCAAGGGTTAATGAAATATCCACAGATAATCCTTATGTACCCATATGTCTTCAAAATAAAAGCTGTTCTAACATTTTCAGCACATTTATAGAAATATGTCAAAGTAAAATATATGCAAAGGTACAGGACTTTTAATTTAACTGATTGAGGAAAGGTTGAGTTTATGTGAACAATGTAATGAAGTCTTAAGAGCTTGAAAAGAAGGCCACTGGACTTCTTTTGTCAAGCTCCTGAAGCTACCATGACCTGGACAACTGAGAACCTACACAGACATAACGTAATGAAGTAAGTTTCACAGGACAAGAGAAAATAAAATACTAACATGGCACACTATGCTTACCAAACAAAAAGAATAAAAGGCCATTTAGGATAACTAAAAGACAGGTACTGTAAGATGAAACAGAGTTCATGTGAATGAAGGAGAAAACTGTGACATCTATGTTGTCAGTGTTAGGTCATGTTAGCTTTTGACCATTTAATTTGCCTTTTTGCATCTTTTGCATGAAATACACTTCAGCAATGACTGACTTTAAGTCAGACTGTGTTCCATTTCCTCCCTTGGAGGAAAAAGTGCCAGACCATCATTCCAGAGCACGCCGGCAGCACTAAACGTAGGGTTTAACAGACAGGCATGCACAAAATGACGACATGCTCATTAGAACAAAACAACCCGCTAAAGGTTGCACGTCACGTCTTATTCCACCACCACAAAAAGATCTTCACACAGAGGTGAGATAGTAGCATGAGAAAGTATGATTCCCCATGCTCTTAATCATCACTTTAACCAGAGGGCCATTTAAGGTACCATTGCATTTTACAAGTTAGGCAGTTATGAAGCCGGTATGACACACCGTGTTTGTCTTTATCAGTGGACGTTAAGTATGTCTGAATTTATGAATAACAAAAAGTAGTGTATTAAAGGTTTGTTTTATCTGGTCTCGTTTAGTGTTTGGTTTTTGTCTGTTTTTTAATCATCATTTTTATTGAAATGTTATTACAAGTCTATTATATTATATGTGTGACTATTACATGTCTTATGTAACTGGTTACGATTCTTTGTATACTTAAAACACTGGTTTGTATCTGCTCTCTTGTGCAAGTTATTTTTATGGCTTTTTCGGTTACACCATATTTTTCCTGTACTAATTTTACACATTGGTGCTTTATTGTTGATTTAATGGCTAACCTAACATGTGACCATGGGTAACAGTTACAGTGGTCTTTCTCCACTGAAAGCCAAAAGGATTACAAAACAGTTATTATGGCAATAAAAGACAAAGATTCAGTGTTAAGCAGAACTTGTTGACTAATTTTACGTAAAAGCCTTTTGCTCCAGTGATTGTCTGGTTTGTTTGAATTTCTTTTTAGGAGCTTAGTTTCCACAAATTACACAACATATAACAATTTCATCAGTATAAGAAAACAACACAAAAATAAAACTAATGTCACAATTCACCATGGAGCCCATAACGCGCAGCAAAAGCAACTTTTGCTACTTTGGGTGTCGACACAAACCCTGCTTTAAAGCTCTCAGAGCCCCCCGGCTTTGCCGTGCATGCATGACTTCTCATTCACTAATCACAGGGGACTGTTTGCACGACCCCCTCCCTTATGACATCCCACCCAGACTCCCATTGCTTCCACAAGGGATGATTCAGACAGTGGCGTGCTGGATATGAAGTAAACCATAGCTCAATGGACCCAGATTAGAGTGTGTGTTTGTGTGGGTCCATAATGTCAAACTCACATCAACCAGCCAGACGTCATTCACTCTGGTGTCTTTAAATCTATGGAATAGAGAAAAAACATAGTTGTAACCATTCAGCTGAGACTAGACAGAAATGACAAGTTCTGACAATCAAATAAATCACATTAAAATTAATGAATAATAAAATCAAATGAAATACCACAAAAGACTGTGAGTATACCATATGGGTAAATCTCCCCACAGCAATCCAAACTCATATTTAACGTAAGAATCATATTCTCACATTTAAACTGCTGACATCTGGGGGCCTGAAAAAAATCAATTAAAGCCTGTGGCGTGCAGACTACTCTCTGCCCATTGATGAGCTAATGTTTAAATTGTCATTGGCAAAATCATGAAAAATGTTCCAATACAAAGACAGGCTTATTACACACAAGAGAGATAATCTACAGAGACTTTTCACCACAGGCATCCAATTAAAAAAAATAAAGCACTGTGCAACTAGAAAGAGAGGAAATCAGCATCACCACCATGTATTTTTTTCTGCTAATGCAACCACTGCAATGTGGGCACTTTTTACCATACAGGGTTTAGAGCATTGCTAAAGTACAGGAAGTAGGAGCAGTGAGCCACTTTGCATCCACACGGAGCATGATTTCTAAACTCGGAAGTTGCCGTAGCAGGAAGCTGAATTGGTGAATCAGTGAAGGGGGAAAAGCACATAGTAGTGCATCACTTACGTGTCATCTAGGTCTTCAACAAATGCAAGCACCGCTGAACTCAGGAAAGCCGCTATAACTGTGACGGTAAAAGAAAACACTGAAATCAGACAAGGTGTTTATCTCAATGTGAAGCTTTACAGCTTTAAGGTTTCTTTTCCTCCCCAGCATTAAACCTCATGACTGAAGCATCACCAGCTAAAGCTGTCGCCCCTCCGGCTAACTGTGCTTCAGTTTGAGCCGCATTTTCACCAACGGCAGCTGCTAGGGGCCTTTAAACTGATGCTGGGATAGCGTGTGTGGTCCACTGTTATTCATACAGGAAATACAAAAGCTGAACATACCTCCACAAGCCAGGGAAGCTTTTACTTCTGCCATTGCTTCGAGTGGAAACAGCAAGCAGGAAACAACCGCTAAATCGACCTCCCTCCGCGCATGCGCCGGGTTGCGCAGCCTCCTGAAGGGGTTACCAAACAAAACGGTTCCTCCTTTAGCTTTTTTTTGTAGTTTAATTTTGTTTTAATAGTATTTAAATCACTTTTGATCTGTACCACTTACTACATTTTTTACAGAAGATTTTCATCGACGTTTACGCCATGTTTACGGTCTATTTTTTCCACTTTATGAACGTACACAAATGCAAAAATATAAGTATTTATACTAATGAAACTGCAAGTCAAGGTTTGTGATGCAGGTCGTCCTAATAAACAGGTGGTTAATAACAAATAATTAATGAATATTTATTGTGTTATGTTCAATTTAGTTTTTTATTTTTACATTCCGTTGATAGAACATTTTTTCCACAGTTAAATAGAATAACAAAGATTATCTAATGAAAACAACACAAGATATTGATGTTGATCTTTCTGTTTGTTACGGGGGGCCTGGTTGCTGTAATTATTTACTTCATCTTGTTGCAGTTTCTTATTTTACAGTTTTCCCCCTTTTTTAAAATCAGCAACCTTTTAACTGTACTGAATTTTGAAGAAGCGACACTGATGACTACCTGTACCCACCATCAGGTGTCGCTCTAAGATAACGGGCAGCGGGCCAAGCACCTCAATGCCTGTGTACTTCCATAGAATAAAGTGATCATATACAATAAATATCATCAATATTACCATACATCTCTGTCTTCACTTTCTTTTTAGTAGCATCTTAAATACATAAACATTAAAATACTACCAGAATAAGAGAATTTCCCAGTGATTGCCGTCCAAATTTGTGCACTGCTTCCAATAAGGCTCCAGCAACTTGGAATATTTGCTTCTGATATTCATATTTACAAATCATGATTTCCCAACCAAATATTCTCCACTTCTTTGAGTTTGTGGATGAGTATTGTGCACTTATCACTGAATGCCTCTGAATCTCATATCCAACACTAATGATTGTAGCCACCTTGCTTCTCAAGTTACCCACAGTCTACATCTGCCGTTCTATGACCCTAAGGTCCAATCACTTTGTGCACAAAAGACATCACAGGACCATTTGTTTTATTGAAAACGTTTATTTGTTTTGAGAAGGTTTTTTGAATAATAATTTGTAACCAATACTGAACATCTTTAAGGTTATCAAACATGTTTGCACATAAACTTCATCTTAGAAGTTTATAATTAAGATTCATATTTACAAACCAAAGGTTCATCTCACGTATGACGCACACAAGTAAATATACAATACATTACAAGGCATAGAATGGTTGGCTTCACAGAATGTGGCTGAAATTTACAAAATAAATAAGAATATTTTGTGTAACTTTATTTTCCTATTGTCTTCACTTGTCTCTCTTCAAACCTCTGGCTGGCACACCAGGCATGTAGCTTTGTTTCAGAGTTTCACTGGCACTGGAGTACCAGCGTTGTGTTTTTCCTCATTGCATTGAATGCGTTGAGTACCATTTCAGAACTTCATATTCAAAATAAACTGAATGCCATAAGCTTGCAAAAGAGTCGTAAAGAAGGCAGAGGTCTTGCTGGAGTTTTCATTATTAAATATGAACGCCTATGCTCGTTCATCAATATCAGACAATTTCATGTAGAACAAAATCTTGGTCCAGAAATTTTAGTGGGAAATTCCAGTTTTTTTTCGCACCTTAGACAGAAATGCTTATATACAAAATCAGCACGTCATTCTTGTTCAAAAAACAAGAGAAAGCATGAAATACTTTTGTATCCTGTGAAAGAGCTGTACTTTCTCACGGGGTGAATAGTGATCATGACTGTGTTACTAAACAGATTCATGTGGAGGATCGCCATGCTGACGGCTCATGTGCCAAGTTTGTGGAGGGCTGAATGCCTTTGCATTTGGAAGGGCAGGAACCTGGACACAAGCTGTTAAGTTACATTGTAAGGCCACGGTGACTCCTGCAGTGACAAAACCGCTGAAGCAAAGACAGCTAACACAACACAAATATACATTTTTAGCATTTGGGTCACATTCAAAGCCTCTGCAATGCACCACTGAGTTCTCAGTTTCAGAAGTAAAAGTGCCCTCCTTATAGTACAAACATACAAAGGCGTGAATTTTAACCAATTGTTTGCCTTGCTTCACAACTTTTCCTATAGAAACTTGTAGTACAGCAAAGTTGTTTGTCTTCTTTACATAAAGAGAGGACTTGTTCTGTAGACTCCCACACTCAGCTGTCTGACTGAACCCACTCATGTCATCTTACAAAAGTGACCTCAATGGAGCCTTTAAACAAAGCTTTCTTTGCCCCATTTTATCACTCATCAGAAAACAACAGCAGAGACATGATTCTGTTTTCCACAGGCTACACTCACTCTTGACACCAAATTATTCCTTTATGGGCAAAAAAAATGAGCATTTTTATGAAGCTACATGTCTAACATCACAATTCATAATTCAGACAAAACTAATACAAAAAACGTCTCATCAACATCAAACTCGGCAGCATTTATCTGAACACAAAGCAACAACATAACAACCAAACTTTGTATTTTCTTTATATTATTTTAACTGACAGCAGTCCAAGGCCCAACTGAAGCATGAAAAGGAATCTCCTGCTGATGTTTATGCTGCTGGAGGATAAGATAACATAATTCTTGCTCAATTCACCATCATAATCAAAACCTCTGTGGTTCAGTCCTGGGACAGATGCAAAATTGAAAACCTTGCCCCCCAGTTTGTGGACTGGTGTTTGCTTTGACTGGTCAAATAGGACTCAAAAAGCACTGCGCACACTTCAGTGCCTTTAATTTAGCAATTGCAACAATTTGTCACAGGTAACATCTCCAAGACTAGCTAAATTCCACAAGTGTCTATCATCAGAGCCCATGTTTTCTAGTTTCATTCAGCTTTCAGTGTACTGTCATACCAAAGATCCTGCTGCATGACACAGCAACAAAATCAGAGTTTTCCTGTGAGTTTTAAGCTTTTACAAAAAACTTAATGCAGGTGGAAACTGCACCACACAACAACAACAAAAAAAATCCTATAAAAATCTCCTTAACTGTTTTTTGTTTTTGTCTTTTTTCCTAAGTGGCATCACTTCAGGAATCAGAGAACATGATAAACCTTAAAGATCCATCTCTTAGGTCCATGAGAGAAAATCATGAATGTTTCCATAAATTACTTTTGCTTCTTAATTTCCACTGTTGCGTAGTCGCCACTACAATCACACCCCAACCTACAGATTTTAGTTCTTTTAAGTTGCCAAACAGCACGTTAAAAGTGTCACTGAGGATCTATACTGTGTGGCTGCCTCAGGTACATCATCTGAAAGCCTTTTGAAGTGGGAAAAAAAAGTAAGGCTCTGGATGAGGCACATCGGTGATGTCACATAAAGTGGATGAAAACAAAGGCGTGCTGCTGTAGCGCTCCTCTAATACTACTGTGCAAACTGTACACCCAGCCAACTCCAAAATGACCAATGCTTATTTAAAAAGTTCTTAAAGTCGCTGGAATAAGCAGCAGCTACGTGGTGTGCAGCATTGCATAGTTGAGTTCCACTGAAGACTACATATTACAGCGTGACAAGCCATCATCGACAAGCATCTGGTAGATCAATGCTCATTCCAGGATGTCTGTTTCAAATGGGACCAGATGGTAGTAGGAGAGGTTGGTGACATATGCTTCTGTTTCTTCATCACACACATCTGTTTCCAATGGCAAAAACTCTGTTCCATCTTCATACCTGGCAATAAAATGAAAGACATACTGGGTTAACCCAGGCCTGTGTAGTTTACCCCAGGAATCAAAGGTGTGATGTAAGTGTCAACATCAAAACACTGACAAAACCTTAGAACTGTGCTGCCATTTATGGGTGATTTACATTGTTTTTGTGTTTCTGTGTTTCTGTGAAGTACCGAGAGGAATGTGTTCCTCTTTTGCTTTCTACACACACCCAGGGAAGGAAGAGCTGCACAGACACACTTCCTGTGCTATGTGAAGCGGGTGGAGGGTCCTGGGGTAGGTTCACATTCTAGGACCTCTTTACTCACCAAAGCATTTATTGTATACACTCAAAGGCAAGCATGGAAATCCTCACATTTGTGAGAAGGCAAGTAGGTAGTTTCTTACTCTGAAGTGGCCTTCAAACCTACAACTGTGTTAAACTCACTCTGGCCCTTAATGTGATTTTAAACATAGCTTTCTTGCTCAGTAACATATGCAAAGGCAGATATAATTAATGACTGAGCGATCCTTATACTCACGTATGTTCTACAGAGTCGGTCGATGAAGGTCTCTCTTTTTCTTCGGGGATACTGTGATCGAACACGATGGTTTCTGTGTTGGCCAGACAAAATCCATTGGACCGCATGATTTCTGGAAAATGCAGAGAGGAATATTACATCATCCTTAAAGAAATCATGAAAAATAACTGAAATGTAGTTATATTCACATTAAATAAGTATATGAACCTGATATCTTGATTGGACTGTCAAAGCATGGCTGGATTCTGTGGACTTTGTCGTTCCTTAGCACCTGATCCAGGGGCGACCGCTCAAAGAAAGTCAGCATCACCTCTGATCTGGAATACTAAAGAAAGAGGTTTTTGAGTACAGAGCTGATGTGCTCATGTAAGAAGCTTTTATAAGTCTATATGACATGCCATCAGATGAAATACCAACCTTGCATGGCATGTTGATTGCATTCTTCAGTAGCCTTTCCACTTCGTTTAACTTCTCCTCGATGTCGGTCGCTTCTTTGATTTTCACCAGCCCTGAAAGAAACAAAAAGAACTCTAAATGATTGCGGTACGCTGGATTTGGCTGCTGATTTGAATTCCTGTCAGTGAAATAAAGCTCTATTAACTTGATTCCTTCGATTTAAAACCATCCACTGGATCTCCATGAAGTGTTTTACATCCGTTCATGTCACAGGCCGCCGAGGCAGACCATGTGTGGGTTAGCGTTGAGGACCCAGGAGCAGACAGAGGCGAGGGGATGAAACTTTGAAGCCCAAA